CAAAACACTATAATAAAGTATTTTTTCATTAAGTACTTTTTGAGTTATTTTATATTTTAATCTGACATATTTTAAATAAAATAATAAAATATCTCATAAAATATTTAGTTTTCGATAATCTTACCGTAATACTTTTATGTACGGAATAATGAGAGAAATCAAAAAAAAAACAGCTCGTGTGCACACGGGTGATGTTTCCGAACGCAGCCTTAATCTGATATATTTTGGTATAAAAAATAAAATATCTCATAAAATATTTAGTTTTCGATAATCTTACCGTAATACTTTTATGTACGGAATAATGAGAGAAATCAATTAGTGTAAAAAAAAACAAATAATTGTTAAAAAATGTAATTGTTTTTAAAAAAAAGTATGTAATTATTTACAATGTATTTTCTTAACAATTATTTGTTTTTTTTTACACTAATATAAAAATATTACGGTAAGATTATCGAAAACTAAATATTTTATGAGATATTTTATTTTTTACATCAAATTATGTCAGATTAAAATATAAAATAATTCGAAAAATATTTAATGAAAACATACTTTATTATAGTGTTTTGAAAAGTTCTCGAGCTAAGCTACAATAATATGTAATGGAAAAAGGGGGTTTCCATTTAAGAAATTAAAGATGACCTTCACGTGACCTTCAAACGGCTATCCAAGGTTAAACCAATGGCACCTTATTATGTCCTCCTCTGAGTCAAATAACTTTTGTCTAAAACATTTTTTTGGAAATGCATGGTTTTTGAGATATTACGGTGTGAAAGTTAAAATGGGACACTGTGTATACAGGGTGTTTACTAAAAAGTGGGAAGTATTGCAATGAGAGATTCAGGACACAAAAATAAGAGAAAAAATTCATATAAACATATGTCCGATATGACCGTGTTTTCAAGTTATAGCTTGTTTTATTTTTCAACAGAATTAAGATAATTACGGTTACAGGAAGTGCTCAAAATGACTCTAACTTGAATGACATACTTCAACACGTCTCATCATAGATTGTCTAACTTTTTCAAAAATTCCGGGTATTGCTTGAATTTCCCGGCAATCATCTTCAACACGTTGACGAAGTATCTCAACGTTGTCAATGGGTGTTTTGTAAACAATGGATTTTAGATGCCCCCTGTAAAACAAGCTATAATTTAAAAACAAGGTCATATCGGACATATGTTTATATGAATTTTTTCTCTTATTTTTGTGTCCTGAATCCCCCATTGCAATACTTCCTACTTTTTAGGCTACACCCTGTATATGACTGTTGTTTTTTTAGCAAACATTTATTTTGTATTTTTTTTTAATATCAATAATTTTTAGTTTATACTTTGAAGAGTGTCTAATGTTTATGCAAAAAATTATTTAAAATTATGTAAAATTACTAAATAAAGAATTTTGTTAAATTATACATTTTACATTATATAATTAATAAAATATAATTTCTATATGTATCAATAATGTCTTGTGAACTTTATTTAAAAAATATGTAATATATTAAATCTTTATATTAGATAACATTATCTATGATAATATACAACGCCTAACATATAGCAATATTTATTTTGTATACCGAAGCAATATTTTGATTTATGAAAGGTATGTACTTAATGTCTCTCGATTAAATAATTTTCTCTGTAAATTTCTCTGGATTGGGATAAATATAAATATTTTTAGATTGCGATAAATTGCATGAACTAATATAATAAAATATTCATAATATATTGATGTTTTTATATGGCTACTTTAGTATTTTAAAGTGCAATTTGATTGTTGATTTTTTGATTGACAATGTATTTTAACATTGTTTTTAAATCTCTTTAAAAATAATGATTATAGCATCAAATTAATTTGTTTATTCGAAAATGCAAACATCATTATGCATTATTTAAGAAATTGATCATGATTAAATATAAACAATTAATAAATATGTCCCAAATATGTTTGTGTTTTTGTTTGTATAAATTTAAATTTCAAATACATTATTTTTTCTCTACTAAAAAATAAATATACAGGAGAGAGGAACAAAAAAAGTTGCCAATATTTTTTCACGTGTATTAATAATGCTAATTATCAAAGCTACAGTGTTGACGTCTTTTATATTCCATGCTAATATATAAATAATTAATTTAAAATATGCAATTTGAAGATAAATGCGTGTTCGATATTGTATTGCAACGCTTAGTAATCAAATAGTGATTTAAAAAGGAAAGTATATAAAATATTTGGCCAAAACCGTTATTAATAAAGAAAAAGAAATCTGAAAATTACGTTAAAAACAAGTTAATAAAAGTTAAGAATAATACTAAAAATATAATATCATAAAAAAGATACAAATTACATAAGTAATAACAATATTCAAATATGAAACGTGCGCCTTATATGCTACACCTACAACAAATTTTTAATGTAATCAAAGAAATGTGTCCCGTAATATATTATTTAAATATACATCTCCGCTGATAATGTTTCATCACATTCTAATAAGGGATGAATGAAATCTAAAAATCTTACCGATTTCTCGGACTACAAATATTATACATGCACCTTGTGATTTCATTTCAGACAATGGAATAGATAGTATATCGGATATACAAAAATAATGTTTATGTATATTATTTAACAATGTTAAAAATATTGTCAAAAATTTATAAACACTTTATATGTTGCTTATTCTCTATTTTTACACGTTCTCATTAACTCAGCAGAAGAAAAAATATAGCTATCTTTCTATCATACATGTAAGAATATAAATTTAAGATAATTAATCCGAATTATTAATAAATTAATATAGTCACGAAATAATATTACTACTATAGATATTAATAAAATAATAATAATTCAATTAAAGTAGAACTGAACGGTGTGCAACTGACCGGTGTGCTACTGAGTGAAGCGAGGGGGGGATTTAAGGCGGGAGGAGGCACGAACCAAGCATTCATCTCTTCCGTGGCAGCGGCACTGTCGTGTCTGTGTAGGGCGTTTACACACTTCCTCAGCCCGACAAATAATTGTTAGAAAACAACATTTGCGGGTCTGAAAAAATATGCGAGGTACAAGTGGCTGAATCGGGAATCGAACCCGAGTCTTTCGCTTTCCGGGCAACTGCTCTTACCACTGAGCTATTCAGACCTCGCACCTTACGCCACTCTAACACAGTACATACGACTCCAGAGCGATGTTGGAATCTCGCTCAATGGATGCAGTGCCGATTGCCACGGAGAGACGACATCACCAGCACGTCTCCAGAGCGGTCCAATCATATTAAACGATTGAAAATTGGCCCCAAAACGTGCGTCTTATATGCTACACCTACAATAAATTTTTAATGTAATCAAAGAAATGTGTCCCGTAATATATTATTTGAATATACATCTCCGCTGATAATGTTTCATCACACTCTAATAGGGGTTGAATAAAATCTAAAAATCTTACCGATTTCGCGGACTACAAATATTATACATGCACCTTGTGATTCCATTTCAGACAATGGAATAGATAGTATATCGGATATACAAAAATAATGTTTATGTATATTATTTAACAATGTTAAAAATATCGAAAATTTATAAACACTTTATATGTTGCTTATTCTCTATTTTTACACGTTCTCATTAACTCAGCAGAAGAAAAAATATAGCTATCTTTCTATCATACATGTAAGAATATAAATTTAAGATAATTAATCCGAATTATTAATAAATTAATATAGTCACGAAATAATATTACTACTATAGATATTAATAAAATAATAATAATTCAATTAAAGTAGTTTCTAATTTAATGCCAACTCGTAAAGAGCGTTACTCATGGTCGTCGATGAAGTTTCAAAGCCGGCAACGAAAAATATGAATGCGTGAGCAGCTATCAAGCTTTCGGCAATTATTATTCTCTTTTATGAATATTTTCTTCACTTTTTTGACGCACGTTTTTTGAGAGAAAAGACTGAGCGTAAACTAAGATTGATGGATTTTAATCATTTTCAAATATATTCCACCTAATGGTGTTAATATAAACGTCCTAGCATCGTTTACGTATGGTATTGGCGTTTTTTCGCAAGTTTCGACTTTATAGTTTCGTAATATCTTTATAAGCCCAATCTTTGTCTGATGAACAGCGAAGCGGGCACCTAAAAATAAAAAATAATTATTACAACAAAAACATTAAAATTTTCAATTAGAAGCAAGCATCTAAAAATTAAAAATAATTATTGCAAGAAGAGACTTAAGCTTCTCAGTAAAGAAATCTTCAGCCTAAAAGCAAAACAAACAGAACTTGTATGTATAAAGACGTATATTTAAATCTATTTCATTTTACCAATACAATTCCTTGGTCCGTCATCGAAAGGGAGATAAAACATCGGGTGCCTGGTTTGCACAACTTCGTCATTAAATCTTTCTGGATCAAACACATCTGGCTTCGGATAAATATCAGGATCTCGTTGAATCGAGTAAATGGGAATCCATATGTCCTGATCTTTTGGTATATTAACTTTGATACCACCAAAAGTATAATTCGACGTCGTTTTTCTTGTAAGCTGTGGTACCGGCGGGTATTTTCGTAAAGTTTCTGTACATATTCAGAACAATGAAAATGAGGTATGAAATATAGAAGTTATAAAGATTTATTTCTTATTTGTGTTAAAAGTCAACAACAGATAACATTATAATGTCGCTATAAATAAATACCATATCTTTTTTTTAATAAATCTTCTCTTCTACTAACGTACCTTTAAAAATTTTATCCAAATAATTCATTTTTTTAATGTTCTCATACGTAAAATTGTCATTATGTCTGATATATTCTTCATTAATTTCCTCACGTAGCTTGTCTTGTATTTTCTGATTTAATGCCAACTCGTAAAGAGCGTTACTCATGGTCGTCGATGAAGTTTCAAAGCCGGCAACGAAAAATATGAATGCTTGAGCAGCTATCAAGCTTTCGGTCAAATCTAAAATGTAATAATTTCTTGTTACAAATAATACAAATAATCTTATTTTTGTTCGAGAATTAAATATTATAATTTATCTATCCATTTAACATTTAATATTTGATGAATTGATATTTTATATAGGGAAAAGTAGGGTAAAACCGGGTACTTTTTTGGATTTGTCTTCCTACAAAAAATCAGAGTAAAAAAATTTTGCAGTTAGTAGTCTTTAGTGGATATTAAACTATGAGAAAATGAGGCTAGTTGCTGAAAAAGAAATATTTGATTACTAAAGATAACAAGATTTTTGGAGAAGTTAAAATACCCGGTTTTGCCCTACTGGTAGGGTAAAACCGGATACCCATTTGAAAACATATAAAACACCGTGCAATTACAAAATCTAGATTTATTTTAATCAAAATACAATACAAAGATGTGTTCTATTGCCAAAAATCACAAATAAAGATATTCTCTTGTTCTACATTTCTACAAGACTTTCTTATTTAATTTTTTAATTTTAGGGATCCCAAAAAATTTTTTTTTGGTGGTTTCTTTCTCTGAGTAGTAGTTTCCGTTTCCAACTGCTTTTTGTAGGGAGACAAAGTCAGCATAATAGTTTGTCCTCTTTTTATTACATGAGATGTATAGGTCCCCAGTTTTGCCCCAACATGAAGAAAATAACAAACATGGCAGTTGTATATTCCGGCATAGAAAGGGATGATCAAAACTAACGTGATATATTCTTTAATATGTATAAGAATACAATGCTGCATTTACCGAAACAGATACTCTGTGTAGAAAAAGTCCATAACGACTCGATTGTTGCCCCAATATCGATCTTTTTTAGCCCAAAAATTTTGAACTTCTCAAAAAGAAATATCGTGTGCACGTGGGCACAATTCATCTCAAAATAATGATGACATTACTCTACAACTAATAACACGAGTTGACCAAAGATAGTAGCACTTATCACGAAGAAACAGAGGTACTCGGTTTGACACGCCTATCCGGTTTTACCTTACTTTCCCCTACTCAAAATCATGTGTTTCTCATTTAAAAAATAATCGCATGATAAAAAATATCCACATGAATCAAAAGTTGTCACTTACCGATATTATTCACTTTATCTGGATGTTTTTTTAATTCGCGCAATATATCAATGAAATCGTGCCTAACAATATTATTCGCATCTCTATAGGTCATGGTCTCTATGACAATGCGTGTAAAAAATTTGTTGACCTCTGTTTTTGGTAGGATGTAACTGAGAATATCGCAAAGCCATGGCAGAAATTGTTTGAATTTCGCCCGTAGAATATTCTCCCAAGTTGGCACAAAGACCAATCTTCCCATCTTGCGGAATTCGCTGTCTTCGTCTGACATAGCATTCATCTCAATGCCGAAGGCGCAAGTACCTATTACATCGGTCGTATACTTGGCCGTCAATTCGCGACATTCTATAGGCTCGTTTTTGCTTGCTAATGTTTCTATGTATTGTTCAAGTCGATCGGAGCACTGTGATATTAAAGAAAACATCTCCTTTAATTTACCGGACGTAAAAACGGGCGACAGCCTTGTCCTTAAAGGTCGCCATCTTTTAGGCTCCAAAGCGAAAAGATGTTGCGATAGTGGATCTAACTATAATAAACACAAAATTTTAATCAAATTTTCTACCTCAAGCATATGATTTACTAGATTATACAAGAACTTGTTCAAAACTATTTGAAACAAATCTCGAAATTTTCAATAATTCTTATAACACGAAAAACATTAAATGTACCAAAGTTATTGAAAAACACTTTTCGTTTTATACAGGGTGTCCCACCAGAAGTGGCCACCCCCTTTTATCTTTTAAATTAAAAGAGATAGACCATAACAAATATATATCAAATTAAATGGTTCAAACTGAACTCTATTGTGAGCATAATGGTTGCTTTCAAAAGCTATCTGTTAACGAACGGAGAGGTATGCATAATTATTTTATAATAATGTGAATATTTCGATATGATAAAAGTTATAGCACTGTTTGAAACTAATACAATGAGGGAGTGGAGAGAGAGAGAGAGCGAGGGGGGAGAGGGAGAGGGAGAGAAAGGGGGAGAGAGAGAGAGAATTCACATGTTATAATATAGTTTAAAATATACATATATGTATATTTGTACATTCGAACCTTTTCATGAAGTGGAAATCCTCTATCGGCAAATGTGGTAAAATCTTTGATAAGAATATCCTTAATTAAATCCGGATCTTTTACAATAAGAACGGGTGTCCTGTTAATGAATATTCCAACCATGAACTCATCTTTGTAGTTGTTGTATATTTCCATCAAATAATCAGGTGTGGATTTCTTCATAAGCATAACGTCTTTAAAATTACCGAACCCTGGTATCGGTTTCGGGCCACAAATGCCACGCGACTTCCAAAAATTAAAGTTGAACGTAAAATAATAATACACACTGACAAGTACAGCAGCAATGCCGCACAATATTTCGAAAGATTCCATGGTTCTATAGCAGTCGATCAATATTCTTAAACAATGTTTACTAAAACAGAAAAGAACAATATCTCGTCAAGAAAAATAAAAATTAAACAGTTCAATAAATTAGATATATTTTTAACGAATTAAATATTTATAAAAGCTTGGTTTAATTGAATTTTATCAAGTTTTCTATCGAAAATCCGATGGAAGGATTTCTGACATATGTTTTGAAATAATTGCTTTAAAAATAAAAAAGGTAAAATAATTTTTCGAAATGTTATTATTATATTTGTACGCCAAATATGCTCTGCGAGAGTTTACAAATTGTGCATGTCGCAAAACTCGTTTTGAACAACATCTAGAGATAAATGATAATGAAAATTAATAAATACAACGTACTTGAATGCAACAGCAATAGTATTCTGGCAGTTCCAATTGTAGTAGCTACATGTTATCGGACCTCTAACCAAAGATAATACTGGCTGACGTGATGCAAGTGCCGTTCAATTAGAAAGATATCTATATACCCCACCACAAGAAGAACGAGCATAACACAATGAATTGCAAATTTTCTCACTTAGTATATCTTGAAAATGCATCTACTGCGTAAAACACTCGCACTACATTAATAATACATACTGACAGAAATCAAAGATTATTATACTTTCTTGAACACATATGTAAATATTAATGTATATAGTAATGTACTATGATAATACAAGCTGATAAAATAATTGTTTTTCAGTTATAATTTATTAGCTATTTGATTGCGTAAGACACACACATACACACACACACACATATACACATATGCGCACGAGAGTGTACGCATATACACATACGCATGCACGCACACATATATGAAATGTAAAATTATATCAGATATATTGAATTAATAATTAATTTTACATTTTTTTGGCTAAATTAATGACGTCGTTTTATATAAATAAAATATATAAAAATATGTAAACTTCTGAAGAATTTAAATAAATATGGTGTTCATGTAAATTACATAATATCTACATTATTTGAACTTATCAATCTAATGAATATATTTTATTGTCCTAGCTGAAGAAATCCCAGCTAAAAGTATACCGGCCTTCTTGAAAGGATTGATTGATTTTGCTTTATCCTGCAAATAAGCGCTATAATTTGAAGAACTTTGCTAAACAGCGTAACATATTGGGTTATAAAGATTTGGCAGTAACAGACAATAAGTACAATATAATAGCACATATAAAACATTCAGTAGCACATATAAAACCAGATACGTAAACTAAATCAAATATTACAATTCTGTTCTTTTCCTCACACACAGATAGAGGGAAATGACCATCCAGCGCTTATAATCGAACACAATGATTTGGGTTCTCAAAGGTTTTACAATGCACGGAGTAAGCAAAGTTTCAAATATGATCACTTGAGGAAGGAGGTGCAAGATTATGAACCAGATGCTGTAGCGGAGCCTTGGAGGTCAGCTTTTCAAGACAAGATAACGAATTATACTCCAAGTCATTATAGACACGGCGCCTGCTCAGTTTTTGGAATAAGAATATTAAAAGAAATAATTTTAAAAAAGAAAAGAAAAGCGCATTTTGCGTGAAGTCTGGACGTATGATGTGCATGAAAGCAAACTATAACAATATTAAATAGGATTTAATAAAATTAACGAATGCCAATTCTACATAAATAAAACTGTATTATCAACAATAATATATATGTTCAAAAATAATATATATGTGCTTATATTATATTAT